TTTATTGTAAATAGTAGCAGTTGAAGTAACAAATTAGAAACAGAACTTTTGCAATGAAATAAATTGCTTTCTTATGGTGGCAAAAGCATGTAGAGTTAGTTTTCTGTGTGTTCACTTAATCCTGAGATGTTTTAAAGCCAAATAAATCTATGAATCAGCCTCATTTCTTCACTGCCTGGGCTGTTTGTTACCTATGCAGGGTGACATTTCTCTCCACAGTTGATCTGCCAAATAGTGACCCTAAGTATGCTCCATGGATGCTGGGCATCACGTAAGTACAGTGTTCATTATTATGATAAGAAAATATGAAGAAAGACCTAGAGAAATAAAATTGTCAGTACTACCCTAACTCATTTGTCATGTTACCATATTGGCCATTGTACGTACAGATAGTGAATAATTAATGTGTATTAAATTTTGTGTGAACATAATTTGTTTTAAAGAGATTGAAGTATGTTTAAAATAATCATTTGGAATGTTGGAAAGGCAAGTACTAAGCTTATTTGAGGTTGAAAATTATGCTATTTACAGTGATACTAATCTGCCAGCAATCTCAGCAAGTTAGATGCAGGGATAGATGAAAAGAATAGTTGGATTTATATGTATGTTTTTGCCAGAGATTGTAATAAAACCATTTAGAGTTGGAAGGAGATAGGACAGTAACATTGTTGGAAAATGCACAGTAACATTGTTGGAAAAACTGGTTGCAAAGAGAAGTAAAAGAAGACTGTGATTAAGAAGTTTAAAAAGCCAGTGAACTGGCAACTTGTAGTAATGTTCATTGTTAAATATTGGAAGAAAGAGCAGTTTCAGACAGTGGGTACCTGATACACTTATTTTGGTTGTACAACAGTTTGAGGATGGTGGTTTAATTATGGATGACCTGCGTGTGAAGGAGAATACATAGAATGATTGGCTTCAGTAACAGAAACATGTTGCTATATTTACGTTCAAGTTAGATTTGCTTGCTTATTGCAGGAAATCTGAATAGTAAATATGAGCAAGATAAGAAATTTCCCCTTTGTTTATAAGTCTCTTAATTGGCCAGACTGAGTGCCACTGTGCCATCTCCATGGTGTTCCTAGAGACCAAAGCTCCTTCTGGTTTCACAGCTAGCAGCCAGCCCGGGTGCTCTTTCCAGGGTTGTGTGTAGTCCAAGGTGAATACTAGAGCTGAGATATCTGGTCCTTTTTGATTAAGACGGAGAAAGAGAACAGACCAGAGGAGATAGCACAGAGTATGGTGACCATGAAACAGTAGTTCTTAGGGGACTTGGGTAGACGGGATGAAGATGTCAAGAGGAGACCTGGACTAGAGTAGAGCAAGAAAGTATAGTTAGTTAAGAGGCTTGGGAGTGCAAGAGACAGTGATCCTCATCCTTTTTTATCACATCTATGTGAGTTTAAAAACATTGAACACAAATCTCTGTATATTAGTATGATATTTATTGTACACTATGTGTCAGTATGCCATGTTATGAGACATAAAAATAGAAGGTTTAAAAGAAGATAAAAATACCAATAGAAATGTTAATATTTTCTTTCCATACCCAGCCAGTTGTTTTGCAGGTTCCTGGGATTATATAGGGCTCAAAGACCTCAGCTTCAGTATAGCTGAGGACGGTGATTCTCTTAGGGGAAATAAGAGCAACCTGGCGTAGAACGTGGCATAGTACTGCGCCACCCTCTCTAGAAGTTCACCCTCTTCAAAATAAGGAGGACACTCAATGTCCTTAGGGAAATTTTGGCAATGCACATAAATTAACTTTGGAGAAAGTGTCTTATTATTTATAGATAACATCATGTGACAAGATGACATTTGATTCAAGATCTCAGCCACAAAATATAAAAAGTGAAAATATATTCAAGAAAGAACCACAAATTATTAGGGCATTGACTATTGATTTTGGAACAGATGCTGTTATCTTGGGACAGAGGTACAGTTTAGAGTTAAATATGAAAAATAAAACAATTGGAAACCAGAAAAATTATATAACTGAATGTTAAGATTCTGGAGTTTTTTTTTTAAAAAAAAAAACAAAACTAAGCTTAGATTTGATGGAGGGAAAAGTCATGAGTAATTTTGCAAATGTGAATATATTAAGCCTCTGTATTCTGAAACAGTACTCAAAAATGAAAAGAGTGGGCATAGTAATTGTAGTCAGTATATTTATTATCTCAAGAATGTGATGTGCTTTAAAAAACAGAAATGTAGTACAAACCCTGGAAGAACCAATGAGGACAATACACAGGAAGTGGCCAAGGAGTTGTCAATTTTAAGTTAAAAAAAAAAAAAATTGCTGAATTGCTAAAACTGGCACAAATCTTGGATAACTAAAAGAGATACAAGTGGTTTAAAAAAGAGGTCTGCAGCTATATTTTGATGAGGGCCAGAGCTGTTAATTAGAATGGGAAATGGAGTGAGAACCTAGACAGAGAACCTCACTGAAGGATATGTCTGGTTAAGTAAAGAGAAGAGGACCAAAGGGAAGGGAAAGGGGAGGAAAGGGGAGGAAAGGGGAGGGAAGGGAAGGGAAGGGAAGGGAAGGGAAGGGGGAAGGGGAAAGAGAAAGGGAAGGGAAAGGGGAGGAAAGGGGAGGAAAGGGAAGGAAAGGGAAGGAAAAGGGAAGGAAAGGGAAAGGGAAGGGAAAGGGAAGGAAAGGGAAAGGAAAAGGAAAGGAAAGGAAAAGGAAGGAAAAGGAAAAGGAAAGGAAGGGAAGAAAGGAAAGGAAAAGGAAAGGAAGGGAAGAAAGGAAAGGAAAAGGAAAAGGAAAAGGAAAGGAAAGGAAAGGAAAGGAAAGGAAAGGAAAGGAAAGGAAAGGAAAGGAAAGGAAAAGGAGATTTAGTCACATCTGTAAGCAAAGCAGTACATATTTAAACTGAGGTACTGAGTTTTCGTTGCTGTTGGCTTTGTTTTGTTTTGTTTGTTTCTCAAAATACTGTTTGTCAAAATGAGGTCCATTGCATAAGTGGTGCTTTTACACCATGTGGGAGTGAAAATCCGTATGACACTTTTGAAACTCTTGTTCCTCTCTTAAATACCTAGATGGATCAAATCCTTAAATTTGATATGAGGAAATAAATACATTAATAAACTTTCAAGCTTTGTAACCTATAGAGCACTAAAAGCTTAATCCTTAAAATTATTTCAGAAAAAAATCACTGAAATTAAAAACACAAGCAGATTTAATAAGTAGGTAACTAAATACCTTTTTTTTTTTTTTTTTTTTTTTGTCTTTTTGAGTCAAGGTTTCACTATGTCATTCAGGTTGGCCTTGAACTCACTGTGTAGCCCAGGCTGGTCTCAAACCCATAGCCATTCTCCTGCCTTAGCCTCCTCAGTGCGGTGATTACAGGCATGCGCCACCACACCCAACCTACTACATACATTTTTAAAGAGGATTTTGTCAGGTAGACATAACTGCGTTGGAAATTCTAAGAGAACTAACATATTCTAAGCCCCGTTTAACAGTTCTAGTACATAAAATGGTAGGGTGGACCATTGGGTACCATTGTCTCATGGAAACATAATATATGATAATGAATGATAAAAGTGACATTTAAATCAATGGAGGAGAATGAGCTATTCTTTCATTCATGCATTTATCTATTCAGAAAATGTTTATTGAGGGCCAAGCATTAGTCTAGATGCCAAGAGAATATCAGCAAACTAAATAATTAGAATCCCCACTGTCACGGAGTTTAAATTCAATTTAGGGTAGAAACCAAGCAGAAGTAAACAGAAGATGGTTGGGGCTGGGGATTTAGCTCAGCGGCAAAAGCGCCTGCCTGGCAAGCGCAAGGTCGTGAGTTCGGTTCCCGGTACCGGAGAAAAACCAAAACAAAACAAAAAAAAAAAACAGAAGATGGTTGCATAGTTTTAAAAGAAAAGTGGGACAGTGGGGATAGTTTCACAAGAGTCTCCGTGGAGGGTTGTAGCTCTACTTAATAAAGAATTGCTTCAACCCTGTTTGTTAAACAAAGACCAATTTGGCTAAATATTTTTTATATAGCCACTCCTGATTCACAAAAAAATGTAGAGCTATCGAATAAATATCTAAGACCTTTTTAATAGTCAATGGAATATTATTTTGAATCCTCAGATTGACAAGAATTTGTGTTGAATAATACCAATTTTTTGTGAACTTAAAGAAGATCAATGCTTAAATATATTATAGATATAACTGCATATTGGTGCTATTTTTGAAGGGTATCTAGAAGTGACTCTCAGAATGAAAAAGACATACCACACCAAGCCCAGGTATCTAGCCCAGGGAACTCGCGTGTGTGAGCAGGAAAGTAAGGTAGGGCAGTACCATCTGTAACTATAAAAAACAGCATTTGTAAAAGTGAAAATCTGAGGACTATCTAGATGTGTTGTAGTTAAAATGATTTGGTTCTGGAAATGGTAGTGCTAATACCGATTCCCAAGACATATTGCTGAATTTATGCAAGTAGTGAATTACAGGCTTACCTATACACTATAACAATAGTTATCACCGAAACTGTTCTTGGATCTTATCACTAAGAAAGCTGTTAGCTTTAGTCTTATCTCTAATGTTCATGTTAAATTTTTTTGAGAGGTTTATTTATTCAGAGAGATAGTACACGTAAAAATGACTAAAACTCCCTATGAGCCCCAGTTCAAGTCTCCTTTCTCACTATTCCATGCGTGGTATGTGAATATCTTGACTTGCCAATTAAATTGTAGCTCCTTTTGACAGTGAAGGATCTATCTAGTCTTCTTTTTTTCAATATGTTACAAGAGAAGATCTTGCTCAGTGAATTGTGTTATTATCATGAATCTCTTACATTATTTCTTACTCAGGTAATTTTTTGTTTTTTTATTTATAAATCCATAGGGAATCAAAATTTTATTTTAATCGTGCTTAAATTCTAAATTGCTTGTTAAGCACAACATACGTATTGTAAACATTCAGTCACTTGAAAAGAAGTTGTAAAATATGGTTGTTCATGTCAGCTTTTTTCTTTTCTTTGTAGGTCGGTTATATGCTATGCAAACTGGAATGAAGATTGATAGCAAAACTCCGGAATGTCGCAAATTTTTATCAAAGCTAATGGATCAATTAGAAGCTGTGAGTTAAAGATAACTTATTACCTCCTATTTTAAATGCCGTTTTATTTTGTGTATGTGGATATGTGTGTGTATTGTCATTTATTTGTTTCCCTTGATTGCACTTAGCAATGTCTTTATACTGCCTGAGGAAAAACCACATAGATCTTTTTAAAAGTTACACCACATTTCCAGGGCAGTTGTACCATAAATTAAAGTAGCTTCAAATATCTTCACATATCTTCTTCCACACCGCTGTGTAAAGCCTTTGGTTCATTCTTTCATAAGTGATGAATCTTTTCTCACCTTTCCTCATGCAATCTCCTGGGTGATTGATATGGGAGTTTTTAAGTAGCTCTTACCATATGAAATGGGTTATTTCTTTAGTGAAAGAGATGATGAAAGACATGGTATCAATTGCTTGTACTCTCTTCCTGTGTTAGTGCCAGGGCAGGATGCTTCTGTGGTCCAGCACCCTTTCCGTCCTCGGAGGAGTGTGATGGGTGACTTGTTACGAGTCACAGTCTTCAGCATGCTGTAACTTCACAGGTCACTGTGGAGGAAAAATTGAATGAGTTGGTGTGGGTATTAGTGCATAAAGAATGTGGTTCCAGCCATAGTCCTCACACTTAGTAATCAGGGCTCTATCCTGTTACTCTTAGGCCCATCTCTCACTGCTTTCTCTCTTAGTCCGCATTAGTGCATCTCCCTTCCCCAAGACTGTCAGCATTGATACTGTGGCCTACTTTCTATGTGCTTAACTACTCAGAATTAGAAACTGTTTGGGGTTGGTACTGAGGATAGCACTGAGCTACATCCCCAGTCCTTTTTATTTTAAGATAGGCTCTTCCTAAATCGCTAAGTTGTCCATGATGGACTGAATGTGCAGGTGTCTGATTTAGCCTCCCACACTGCCAGTATTATAGGCATTGCCCATCATGCCCTACTGAAACCTGTTTATTTGCTCAGGTACATTTTTTGTTTAGGAAAACACAATTTAGACACATAAAATAAAAACATATATACTAGTCAGTTCAGAACTCATTGTTTTCTTTTTTTTTTTTCTTTATTACTAGAAAGTTATTATTCAGATCAAGGCCTGCTGTAAGAGAGAACTTCCCGGGCAGGTTGTATTGAGAAGCCATAGGTAGTGGTGTCCTAACTTGGTGTCACTCTCTGGCCTCTGCACTCTGAACTCCTGTCATCTGCTAACCACCCATGGAGGACCTGGTGGCACCACCAGGGGAATTCAGCTGCCCTTCGAGCCTGTCTGGATTTTATCTCTAATGCTGCTTCTCTAGATCCAAGATAAACTTGAATACTCTTTGGAGGTGGTATTAGGACTGGAGGGAGAGTGTATTCACATATGGCAGTGTATTTCTAAAATTCCAACTCCCAAAGAGTTTTTTAGAGAATATATCTCTTTCTTAATTTCACAGTACTGTATAACTATATTAGCAAAAGCAATAGCTTTTGGAAAAGACAATTTAAACAGTTCTTTTATTATAATGAACAGAGATGAAAATCATATTTATGAGGGGACTAATCAGGAATTGAAATAATAAGTAGGGTAAGTATATTCCCAGTGAGAACTCATCTGTCATTGATGTGTTCGTTTTACAATTTAAAAACTGAAAATACATTACAGTTTTCTTGCCACATATTTTCTATTGAAGATGAAGTAGCATACGTCCAATGAAACTTTTCTAGAATTACATCTAAAATTTTATTTGTCTTCACAGATTAAATCTCTTGGAGACATTAAATGACTCTGTTTTAATTATGCAAATATTTACTTTGTTGGTTTTATGAAAACTCCTGAGGCTTTTTTTTTTTTTTTGAGACATTATTTTGCTGTTTAGTGCAGGCTGGTCTTCAACTCACTATGCAGTCCACGCTGACAGAGGCCATTTTTAAATTTAATTTTTCACTTTACAACATCTTTGAAAAAGCAGTATTTAAAAAATAATACAATGCTCAAATCTGAAATTCTAGGATATCGTTTTATTCCACTATGTTTTTAGAATACTTTATTATATGTATAGTAAAGGTTTATACTAACTGGCAATTTATGTCATTGTAAATTGAGTTAATTTGAGGCATTTAAATTTGAGAAGCTTTGATAATCTGATTCTGAGTTTGTCATCTTATATCTTACTTAGAGATAGTTCTCTTTTTAACACCGTGCTCTGAGAAATACTAGGGACGATAATGGTTCTTCTGGTTTTAGTTTTTTACATTTATAGAAGAAATTGAAATGAGAATATATTTTAAAATTATGTGTGCTTAGGTAAGAATTTTCTAATTCCCTTTTATAGTAACAGTATTTGGTATATTATTATTTAGAAATATTTGTCTTCACAGAGATACTTGGCTATATATTATCTTTTTATTCTTGTTTATTTTGATCTTTAGAGTTAAATTGTACTTTTAGGTTATCGTGAGTTTGTTTGTTCATAGTTGTATAAGAATTGGATTTCATTTTAAATACTTTGGGCTGAGAGAGAGCAACTTCATTTTGGGAAGATTTCAATGATATGTCTGATTGAAATAAATATAAAATAATTTACTTAAAATGATTACTAGAATTATTTGTGCTTAAGTAGACCATTGTGATGATACAAACTCATAGCTGTATATGTGATTTTATTTTAGCTTAAGAAACAGCTGGGTGATAATGAAGCTATTACACAAGAAATAGTTGGTTGTGCTCATTTGGAGAATTATGCTTTGAAAATGTTTTTGTATGCAGACAATGAAGATCGTGCTGGGCGATTTCACAAGTAAGTAAAGAGGAACATAAAAATTGTTTTATAAGATTGGTTACTAATTATCTAGGGCTTTGTTTTTTGGGTGTTTTTATTACTTTCTAAGATCCTCAGAATGAGTTTCGGTCACGAATGTGGGCCTTACTTTTTAAAGAAAATGACTGAAGAAAGAACTACCCAAGACAACTCAGTAAATTGTTCCCTCATTTTCTGTTATTTAACATGTAGTAAAATTTAAGAGTTGATTTTAGCCAAAGTCACAATCTGGCCCAATGATGTTGATTTTAAAAATAAGCAATTCAAATGGTTTTTCATTATTATAATAATATTTAAATACAAAGAAATAGATTATGGTTTGAAGTGGACTCAAATAATATTCTACATTTTCTAAAATCAAAACCATACAATAAAATCATAGTATATTTGCTTATAATGTGAATATTGTAGCTTTCTGCTATTGACAAAACAGTTCCATTGTATCCTCAAACTTTGATTTTATTAAAAGCATTAATTTCAGAGTACTTCTGTAAAAACTAGCATTTTCTATTGCATGACAGTACTTCTACATATTAATGTTTTTCATTTAAACTAGACCAGTTCTTTTTTCTCTTCCAGAAATATGATCAAGTCCTTCTATACTGCAAGCCTTTTAATAGATGTCATAACAGTATTTGGAGAACTCACAGATGAAGTAAGTATACATTTTTTATTGTTTTATTAGCTGAAGGTAAGTAATCAGTTTTCTTTATCAGCCTTCATACATTATTTAGTTAGATTAGCATGTCCCTCAGAAATGGTATAGAAACAGAAATGAAGTAACTAAAACTCTTTTACTACCCATTTTTAAAAACTAAAAAGAAACAGGTGAAATTATTTTTAACAATATATTTTTTTTTTTGTAGTAAGTTCTTCAGACTGTTTACTCAGAATTTTCTTTTGTAATTTCTCTGAAAAATTAGTAGGTCTCTTTTACTCACAGCATTTTTCTTTGTCCATTTCTGAATATTTTTTCCTTTCTAATTTCATGTTATTATTCATAGTTGTACAAAGCTGAATAAAGGTTACATTTTCTTAGTACTCAACGGGGGTTTTTGTTGTTTTTACTTTTTAAATTACATTCTATCTGCCACTATTAAGTTTTTTAACTCTCCTATTTGTGCTTTAGCTGTATGTATTCACCCTGTTATCTGTGGCTTATAAATTTCTGCTCAGTATTCTAATTAGTTTGTTGTTTTGTAAGCTTCTAATGTTCCTGTGACTCTCTTGGATTTTGTAAGTTTTTCAGATAGGCTCACCAGAATGTACTATTTTTAACTCTATGCTTTAAAGCAGGGGGTGTTCAAAATACAAATACTTTTAATCTCTTTGTAATACCTTATTGTATAATCTGTTGTGGTCAATGTTTTTATTAGTCTTCCTTTTACTGTGTTTTAGATTTATTCCAATGCTAGGCATTATCTCAGGAGTAAATAACATTTTACCTTCTTTCTGCCATAATCTTTGGTTAAAGCTAAAAATTGCTAACTCAGGAAGAATATGAAAATTGTTAGTAAAATGTAATACTGTTCTTATTTATTGTTTCCACTAATGTGGGTTGGTCAGATTTGTGCCTTCGTAGATGTTGTATTCTAATTTAGAGGCACAGAATAACTGTGATGATATATGATATATTATGAAGAAGTACAGGGAAAATACCCACTTGCAGCACCTGCCGTCTGCCTGGCACCATGCTTACACATACTAGATGTATTGTGCTTCACCTTGCATAATTCTGAATTATAATGTAAAAATTGAAGGTCATAAAAATATGAGTACAGTGTCCCAGGTTCTGCAGTCCAGTATAATGTTTTATCAAACTGTGATTAAGATTTACTCTTTAATAATTTTTTAGATTTCCAATCCTATGCAGATAAAACACTTTTATAAAATGTAAATTCAAGTAACAAATGGGTTACTAGAGAAATGAAATTTTAAAAGGATGTATAAAATGTAAGCCTGATTTGCTGTGAGTTTTCTAAATACTCTCAATTTCTGTACTACATGTTTAAATTTCCCTTATTCAAAGTGTGTGGGACCAGAAGTGTTTCTGAGGTTTTGGCTTTTGGAATATCTATATGAACTTTAACCTAGTCAGCATCTGTAACCCAAAAGTCCAAAATCTGAAACCCTTCAAAATCCAAAATGATTGCAGTCTATAACCTCAACCTGAAGCATGGCTTTATTATATAAAATGAATGGACCATGTTTTAGTAATATGTATTCTGGTGTTCTGTACATAGAAAGAATATTATCAATACATGAAATTTCAAAGGAAACTGTCCTGACCAATGTTATATGTTTACTTCATATTTAAATGAATTTATTCAGAAATACATAGGCATTTTGTATTATTGCTACTGTATTTGGAAATGTTACCTGCACATCTGGAGCCTGAAAAAGGCAATAGAAGAAAAGACATTTGAAGAAATACTGACCATAGATTTTTCAAATTGGTTACAAACAGTAGTAACCGACCTAAGAAGCTCAGCAAACCCCAAGTAAGGTAAATATAAAGAAGAGTAACTTTAGAACATCGTAGTGAAACCAGTGATGTCCAGTGGTAAAAGAGAAAATCCTGAAAATACAGTCTCAGGAAATAGTACATGGCCCACAGGGTAGCAGTGCTTTGAAAGATGCCTGATTTCTCATGTGAAAAAAGTAGAGACAGAGTGAAATATATATTTAATATATATTTAATAATTATTAA